GAAAAACGTGGCCGAAGCTCGGGGGCGCTGCCGTAGAGTGTTTCGAAAAATGCCTCTGATGAGACCCTTCCTGATTCCTGTTCGATGTACCACCATTGTGATCATCGTTTCCTTCTCTACAAGTTGAACGAAGCAAAATACCCAATCGCAACGTGAGCCGGAGGAGCCGCCACACCGGAGAGCCCCACCGCTGGTGAGTTTCGGTTTTCTACATTTTTTTGGCCCATCGAGGGCCCTAAGTACGTTTTCTCGCAGGAACCGATACAAGTTTGGCTGAATTCGGCTGAAAATAGCCAACTCGAGGCGGGTCACTGCCGCGGGCAGTGACGCCGTCGCCAGAGCACGACGAAACCGCCGTGCCGGAATTCTGAAATTGGCTGAGTAGGCCCTGGGTCTGATTTTTGGGTTATTTGAGACATGTGTAGGTATGATATCTAGTTTTAGAGTTTTAAATGCATGTATTACTGTATTACTTGACCACTGTGTGATTTTGAAACTTAAGATATGTTTGTATTACTGGGTGCATGTTCATTATTTATGTGATTATATTTAATTTGGTAACGGAGATTAAGGAGAAATAAGAAAGGGATGCGATCTAATAAACAGATAAGGTGACAGCCTCGCTAGATATCCTGAGAGATGGTGGACAAACCGGGTTCATAGGGAACCCTACCGTGAACGTTGTCTCATACTGGACGTGGTATAAAGACTTGGTCATTTGGCGCTGATATCGGACGGGGTATGGGGACAGCTCGCTTCACCCTCATATCGGACGGGGTATTAAGGTTTAATATCTTGGCGCCCATACCGGATGCGGGGGGAGCCACGTAGGCGTTCCACGTACGTGCGATCGAACGGTTGAAATCCGTTCTCGCGGGCACGGACGACCCAAATCAAAAACGCGCATGGATAGCCCAGATTGCATCGTGCACGGATGGCCCAGATTGAATCGCGCACGGACGACCCAAATTGAATCGCGATGAATGACCCAGATTCACTCCCTATTTAATCGCGATCAGACGGTTCAGATTAAAAGTGATGGACGGTCCAGATCAAAAGCGGATGGGTATAAATTACCCCATCTATACCCAAACCCTAACCCTAGCCGCCAGAGCCCCTCGCCGGATAAGATAGCCCAGCTGCCGGAGCCCCTCGACGAAGAAGACAGCCTAGCCGTCCGGGAGCCGACCGCCGCTACCTGCCCCCGCATCGGAGCAATTTTCGACTGCCAAATGAGGTAAAAAAATTTTCCTTGCACGAAATTAAATTTTAAACTCACCCATGATCAAATCAGAGTGAAAAAATCGGCTAATTGGTTGAAAAACGCCGCCGAAGCTCGGCGGTGCCGCCGCAGGTTGTTTCAGAAAATACCTCCGATGAGGCCCTTCCTGATTCCCGTTCGATGTAATTTTTCTACCGTTGTGATCATCGTTTCCTTTTCTACAGGTTTACCGAAGCAAAACACCCAATTGCAACTTGAGTCGGAGGAGCCGCCGCACTAGAGAGCCCCACTGCCGGTGAGTTTTGGTTTTCTACTTGTTTCTGACCCACCGAGGGCCCTAAGTGTGTTTTCTCGCAGGAACCGATGCAAGTTTGACTGAATTCGGTCGAAAACGGCCGAAAACAGCCAACCCGAGTTGGCCCTGGGTCTGAGTTTTGGGTTATTTGGGACATGTGTAGGTACTGTAAGTGCGTTTCAGTTCCCGAAGGAAAATTCAAGGAACCTAGGGACCGTCCGTAGGCGCAGTAACTATCTAGTTTTTGGTGTTGAATCAAGTAAGGACCCCTCACCCTATTTACTATCATAGATGTGAAGTTTAAATAAATAATAATACGGTCTTTTGTACAAGTTAGATAATATATGCATAATTAATTACGGATTGCTAATGGAGCCCGAAATCTGATATTGTCATCTGTTGATTTATTTTACAGTTTAAAGATATGATGGTATCTGGTTTTAGAGTTTTAAATGCATGTATTACTGTATTACTTGACCACTGTGTGATTTTGGAATTTAAGATATGATTGTATTACCGGGTGTATGTTCATTGTTTATGTGATTGTATTTAATTTGGTAACGGAGATTAAGGAAAAACAGGAAAGGGATGTGATCTAATAAACATATAAGATGACAACCTTACTAGATATCCTGAGAGATAGTGGACGGACCGGGTTCATAGGGAACCTTACCGTGAACGTTGTCTCATACCAGATGGAGTATGGAGACTTGGTCATTGGGCACTCATACCGGACAGGGTATGGGGACGGCCCTGCAATTAAGATTGTTAAGGAAAATGGTTCACGTATAGCGGAAACACCCATATGGATCCCTATGGTTACTAGTAGGCTGGTGAAACGAGAAATAATGATGATTAGTTATTGTTAATGAATATGAATTTATGATATGTTCTATGTTACTGATTATGCATGAAGTTATGATCTGTATGATATTATTGTCTTTATATGTTATTTTCACAGATTCCCCAATGGTAAGTAAAAGGAAAAATGATTTTATTTTTAATGGATGTATTAGTTTAAAATTTGTACTCTATTGGTTATTTTTGGTTTTCTACAAATCTTTACTTCTGTGCCGGCTATATAGTGTAATGTCCTTACTGGGTTAGTGTAGCTCACCCCTTATTTAACAATTTTAGATCAGGAGGATCCGGTTCCCGAGCCCGATCCGCAAGAAGGCTACGAGGAGATGTTAGATAGTTTATAATTTTTTTTTTATTTTTTCCATTTCTCGTAGTTCTTTCAAAGAATTTGTTCTGTGATGTTTGTTAGTACTTTTGAGTTATTGTGTAAGTAATGTTAACCTTAATTTTTATTTCTTTTCCGCATTCAAATTATTATATGTATTTTATTTTAAATTTTTCGGAGGCGTTACAGCGTACAAATGGTCTTTATAAACTAATGATAACGTGAAATAAAGAAATTTTTTTATAATTGAATGGATCATGCATTTGGGCTTTCTATGTGGATTGATTTGATTTCTTTTGGGCATGCAATAGATTTTATAGACCAATATGATTCTCTCTATCTCGATTCTTCTATCATTTTATTTTTATTTTAAAAAGAATATAAATATATTTTATAGTAAAGTGATTCATATGTATTAACTACATTACAACATTATAATAAACATATAATTAAGTGGAACCAAGGAATTTAAAAAAGATAAAAAGAAGTATGAATTATGATTGAGAAATTTTAACAACCACTGTGGAGACGATTACGATCCCTACACTGATCTTTGATCAAATGGAAGTATTATTGAAGATGTCAAAGGAGTGACAATATGTTTGGAAAGCTTAGTCTTTTAATTCTGCCCTCTGGGTGCTCTAACGGTGTCGAAACATATAAAATGTTTATGTTTGGTCCTCACTCAAAATATCATAATTCTAAAAATTAGCAGGGCTTAATCTTATGGGGGGCAAATGATTTAGAAAATTTAGAATATAGTTTTGATTTTATAATTTCATAATAACTTTTTAACTCATAGTAAATATGATAAAAACCAAGTTTAACCCCCCATAACTGAGGCTTTCACCCAAATTCTCTGCTTCTCTTTCGGGCGGAGGTGTCTGTGTGAGATGACGAAGAAGATCGGGTCACTTCACAAATATTAACCTTTTTATTTTTATTGTCAAAATTCTACAACATCATTAAAAAAAGTTTCTTATGTAGCTACGAGGCAAGTTTATTGCCGTTAAAGAGGCAAATGGATAGCATGAGGATCTGATTTAAAAATCTCAAGGAGATATCAATACACAAAGAAATGAAATCTACTTATCCGATTCTTAAGTACATATCCCTAATTTAATCAACCTCCAAATTTCAAGTTTTCCTTTTGGCATCTTATCCCCCACCATCATCCTTGCCGTCACATATTCCGAGCTCCAAAAACCTCAACGTCTTCCTCGCCTTCATCTGTAATCTGTGATATGTCATTCCCTTCTCTCCCCTATCATCCGAGCACGACGTCGTTTCAAGTTCGGAATGTCGTTGACCTGACCGGATATATGTATGCATTATAAAACGACGTATAGCAGGGTCCAGTTTGAAAATTGCCGCAGTTTTAACATTTAGGAAGGTGAAGACCCGCAAAAGCCCACGCGAATCACGAGACGTCCACGTGCCCCTCCCCTCACTCCTAAGTCCTGTACTATTGTTTCGTGCCGACACGCTCCCTAAGCGCGTGGAGCAGCAACATCTGCGTGATACGTGTTATATAAATGGAGATGGATGGAGCCACGAAACTTCATTATCAAAATCCGATGCGACTGCGTTTTTCCTTGTTGCTTTCTCCGTTTCATATTTGATAATCTTCGGAGGTAAGAAAACTGAATAAAATCCCGACAAAAATTACAAAACAAATCAAACTTTTCTCTCGATTAAACAAATAAATCCTATTAATTAATTAACTCCCACATCAAATCTCCCTCTGTTTCTTCTGTCATCGGCTATGGAGTTCTTCACCAACGCCAAAGCTGTCAAACTTAAAAGCCACCTCGACAAGTATCTCATCGCCGACGATGACCAACAAGCCGTCCGTCAAAGCCGAGACGGTTCGTCGCGTAAAGCGACATGGACAGTCGAGTTGGTGGAGACGAAGACCCATCTCGTCCGCCTCAAGAGCTGCCATGGCAAGTACCTTACAGCCTCCGACGCGCCTTTTCTTTTGGGCGTGACGGGTCAAAAGGCCATGCAAACGACGCCGGACAAGCTATCTGACTGGCAAATCCAGTGGGAGCCTATAAGAGACGGGTTCCAAGTTAAGCTCAAGTCATGGTGCGGCAAGTTTCTGCGCGCCAACGGAGGGATGCGACCGTGGAGAAACTCCGTCACCCACGATCATCCTCATACCGGGTCGACCAAGAACTGGGTGCTTTGGGATGTGGAAGCCGTGGAAGTGCCCGAAACTGGGTCGTTAATGGAATATTTATCTGCGATATCGAGCTTCTCATCGGTGGCGGATGATGTTCTCGAGGCGGCGTCGGATGAGGTTGCGGATTCGGATACCGAGTCGCCAATGTCGGTTATGGCCTTGAAGAGTCCGAGGTTTTCCGTTGTTTCCACAAAATCACCCAAGTTGGGCCCAAAGCAGGTCCGTATTCAATTACCATCCCTAATTAATTTGGACAAAAAAATTATATTTCAAAAAATCTAAAGGTATTAATTGAAATATTAATGCATGGAATTATTTGATAATAATGAAATCATAATGATGGGAATGTTTTATTTATTCCTTGTGGAACTCTATTGCGTGTACCAGAAGCTCAATAACAAGAACACGTTTTATAATAAGATTTGTTAAAGATTAACAAGTTTTTAGGAATATTATTATAAAAATATATAAATTGCTTAATTTTCTAGTCTTAAAAAATATGTCAATAATTAGTTTTTTCAAACAAGGGGTAAAATGGATCTTGGCATTTGTGTTCCACCATAGACCTGCACCAACCCTGGTCAGCACTACTCCAAGAGCACTTTCACTTTTAATTTAACTAACCTTCCACCCAAATAATTTCCCTTTTATTTTTTATAATTCATTAATATATATATATATGTAATTACTTCTCATGGTTGAGTTAGCATGTGCATGTATGTCTCTTTCACAAAAAAAGTTGAAATTATATCCAATTTTTTACACCACGATACAACATAAATTCTCACATGCAAGTGTTGTCGTCTCATCAACCTCAAACTTCTGCATCCAGATCATAACTACATATAAATATTATAATTTTTATAATAAGGGCATGTATGAGCGGAGATGCCCACTTTCCCCAAGTGGGTTTTTTCAGTCAGTTACATATAATATAATATATAAGCCGTGTTAGGTGAGTGTATCAATGGCACGCACCATGCATGGAGGTGCAGTATTCACCCATCTGAATTCACTGCCTTTGTTGTTGCTCTTCCCTTGCACACAACACCATATGCATTCATCCAAAATTGTCCAGGCCACATCTTTTTTTTTTTCTAATTTTATTGTGTATATTTTTTTTGAAGTAACAATAAGATTTAGTGCGAGTCAACTCGGCTGAGGATAGTCAACAATGTTGACTTTTTCAACGCAGTAATTTCTCATTTAGGTAAAACTTTTTTCTCTTTTTACCTTGTCCGAAACTGCTTAGCAGCTTCCGTAACTAAAAAGGTTGTGTGTAAATTTTGACCTCGTGAGCGACAAGCCAATAGGAATAAAGAATTTAAGCCACGCAAATCCCGCGTCTGTGTCTACTCGCTTCCCCCAGATAAAGCCATTTCATATGTGACAAGTATATTATCAGTTTAGATTTCAGAAATTCCCTTCCAGATCGCCGTTTCGATTTATAGTCTTCTCAGTTTCTCTTGACTTTGATTGACCAGGCCAATTTTAGGAAAGGTCAGACGGGGATGGAGTTCTTTCACAACGCCAAAGCGGTGCGTTTGAAGAGTCACCACGACAAGTACCTGCTGGCTGAGGAGGACGAGGAATCCGTCAGTCAAGACCGCAATGGATCCGGCAAGAGCGCCCGATGGACTGTCGAGCCCGTTCCTGGGACTACCTCCATAATTCGTCTGAAGAGCTGCTACGGAAAGTACCTCACCGCCTCCAACCAGCCCTTTCTCTTGGGGATGACCGGCCGCAAGGTGCTCCAGACCCGGCCCGGCAGGCTTGACTCCTCCGTCGAGTGGGAGCCCATCAAGGATGGCTCTCTTGTTAAGCTCAAGACTCGGTATGGTCAGTTTCTGCGGGCTAATGGTGGCCTTCCGCCTTGGAGAAACTCCATTACGCATGATATTCCTCACAGGACCGCCACTCAGGATTGGATCCTCTGGCATGTTGACATCGTGGACATTCAAGTCCAGTCCCCTGTTGGCCACCAAGCACAGCAGCCCCCGCCGCTCCCGCACTCTGATTCTTTGGATTTCGAATCCAGCTCCCCCTCTTCCGTTTCGGTCAAATCTAGCAATTTCTCTAGGCAAGAGGTTTGTGATCTGCATCAATTTAGTTAAATCTCTTGTTGGGTTTCCTTCATTTTCCTCTAATAGCAATAGTAATTGTTGGTTTCTTTCATTGTAGTCGAGTGATTCTTATGTGGGTTCCCCTCCAAAATGTGATGGAAGGACTATATACTATCATATTGCTGATGATAACGGTGAGGTTGACGATGAGGTAGTAGAGGGTTACTCCTTCAGTTTCAAGGGAAATGGGGTTGAAGAATTGACTCGAAAACTGATTGAAGAGACGGGTCTTGAGGATATCATTGTGTGCACTCGCAGTCCATTGAATGCAAAGCTTTATCCCCTCCGGTTGCAGCTTCCCCCAAACAATGCCGATATGCATGTTGTCGTAGTGCCGCCATCCTCAAAATGTAAGCATATGAATATTAGTAGATACTGTCTTTATTCTGTGTTACTGTGTATTTAATTAGTCACACACTTGCTAGATTTTTGCTCTCTGTTTAATTCTTTTGGTAAAATATGCTGCTGGCTTTTCGGTGTGTTTATATTTAAGATTAGACTGTGTTGAATAAACTTGGTCATCTGGTTTTATATCTGCAAATATTTATAACCAAGCACCAGACATTTTGCATCTACTGGTTGAATGGTTCTTGCTTAATTTTTATTACTTATGCGACAGAGTTCTTAGGCTGCTAGTTGTTTAGCATACTGATTCAGAAGATAATAAAACTTATCTTATTTGTTTCCAGTAATTTAAACTCTCATTGGCGTGTTAAAAATCATGTTATGCACTGGAGAGCGTTGTTAAAAAAATTTTAGCTGCGTCTGGGTGTTTTATTTGAAGCTAGTGATTTTATTAATTACATGGTAGTATTGTTAAAAAGTCGATTTGCTTCTACCATCTCAGAGATTCTGAGATTGATATAGTCACGGGCATAATAAAAGAGTTTCATGGGTTTGTCTTGATTGTGTTGGATATCATTGAGAAACAGGAAGAATTTTTATCGAATATTAAGTTAAACTACTATCATTCTATGAACTAAGACACTTGGCTTCTCTCCATACCCATGATTATCTTGCTCTTTCTTTCCTTCCATTTCTTAGGTTTCAGACAGTATTGCTTCTATATACCGGCTTTCTTACAATTTCTTCTTTTTGTTTTTGGGTGTATCAGTAGCAAGAGATTTTGCAAAGCTAGGGATTTTGTGAAATGCGTCCAAGAGAAGGTTACCATTTTTTTGCATAGAGAGATTCACATCAACATATTCTGTACGTTCTGAAGCAGTCTTTGTCATATATGGTAATCAGAAAGCATAGTCAAGCAATGTCCATGTTCATGCACCACCAGAACAGAATATAATTTATCAAGAGAGAAAGGCCTCCAGTAGTGTGATTGTGGAGCAGAGAATCCTTGCTATAATGCTCTCGACACCCATGGAAGATGCTCAATTACTCTAGTGTTGTAACATTTTCTGGTTCTCTGTCCCGCATTGTGCTGTATGTATGGGTTGATAGGTAGCTAGGTGTTTCAGCTGCTTGGATCTTCCTTCTTATACATATCTCCACGCCCCGTGGAGTCAATTTTTTCCTGTAAATTTTTTCATATTCTCCTCATATTTCTTGCTTTCATATGCTATATTTCGGTACATTCTGTGTCTTAGCAACGCAAAATGGTCGCTCTTCCAACATAAATTAACGTTAGTATGTTTGGTGGATGAGATAGAAATCCTACTTGTTTCTATCAGTACATATTGATCCTAGTTTGTATAGAGGAAAGAATTGTTGAAGTTTCCATAAATGGTGATTGTAGATGGCTATAAAAGTTTCCAAATCTGAAAATGAAGTAAACCAGTTTTTGCAATTTTAGGTAATAAATTAAGATGCCAAGTTGCAAATGAAAAGGATATCTTTCATATTTGGAATGGTAGATAAGATGTATGTATCTGCATATGTATATGTACTTTCTTTTACTCTCCTTAATATGTACTTAGAATATGAATTAATTATTGACCCTGTGATGTTTATGGGGAAGCCATGCTACTCAATTTAAATTTTCTATAATTTTTTATTCAATTCATAATCAAGCTAAATCTACAGAATGGCATCCAAAATTTCACCTGCAAATCCACTCACATGGTTAGATTATTCAATGAGATTTTATGAGTGGAGAAGGTTATTCATCTCTGTACTGGTAATTGGTATGTTTGTCAACTTATATTTATGCTCTTTTTTTTTTTTTTTTCGTTTCCAATTTCTCTCCTGTTTAATAGCAGATAATGTTAATATGTAAAGAATTACATCAAAATAATTTATGTAGCAAAATTGTTTAACAGTTTATTTAAAAAATATTCTTATTTTATTATATTAATTCAGATAAATATATAATTAAACTGTCACGTCAGTTTGTACATAAATTTTTATGCACAAATACTCTATTATCTTCTGTACTAGTTCATTTTTTTTCTATTTAAGTTCATGTACTAATTTTTAATTTATTTTGACCTTATATTTTAAAATTTTTATTGATTCAATCATCTTTACTAACTATTATTTATAAATTATTAATTTCTAAAATATAATCAATAATATTTTAAAATTATAATATTCAAATGATAATGTATCAGATGACCTGTTGCCATAATCATATTCATAAATTCTGAGCGTTGACTTGAAATTATCTATGACTATGAATTTATAATCATCATTATTACAATGATTACTATTGACGTCACCACAAAAAGAACTAGAATTTCCTTACTTCAGAAAAAATATCAACCCTAATCATTGATCAAAGTATATAATATAAGTTATGAATAGCACATTGATCCCAAGAGTGGAGGAAAGGTAAAGAAGAAGATAAAATTTTGAAATTTTTAATCTGAGATGACTGATATGTTATGATTTTGACACTTCATCAGTAACGTGTATAGACGTTAACAACACTTGATGCTTATGAGTTAGTTTAATAAAAATTTGAAAACATAATTTTAAAATAGATTTAGTATTAATATAGAAATTTAGATAGAAAAACTAAATTCCTATGATAGAGTATTTCACTTAAATTTTTGTAAAATCTTTTGTACCTCCATATGATTCTTTAACAACATAGCAAACATGACCTGCATATTTACTTGTGGAAATTTAAGATTGTTTATAGTAAATTCCTAGTTAATATTAGTCTTGATATTCATAATTAAAATCTAAATTTTTTTGTGCTTAATTAGTGACAATTAAATTGCAATAAATCATACTTTTTATTCTACATGTTAAAAATAATATGGTAATTCAAATAAAGAATAAATTAGATCCTCAAAAGGAATTGGATCAAACTCGATGTAGGTACTCTTTGATGGGTATTTAAAGAACTTTAGAAAAAAGCAGAGCAAATAATTGAAATGAAAATGTAATATTATTATAAAGCATAAGTTATTAAAGGTGTATGGTTTGAATTTGGGAAGTCTATGTTGATAGCCATCAAATTTGCTTCTTCTTTGGTTGGAATTGAAGAGACAAATACATCCATTACAAGTGATAGTTATGATGATTGTTGTTCAGGGTGATGGTGGTTGACTCCATTTTTTATCATTTGAGTTTCTGGGTGCAAATTCAGTGAAGAAATTTTCATTTGGCTTTCAAGATCCTCCACTAAACCCTAAATACATAATAATAGTAATGAAGGAGAAAGACTTCAAATTGATTTGGAGCCTCTTTTGATGCCATGAATAAGGTCTCTTTAAGGGACAAACAGGAAAGAGCAGAGAGGAATAAAAGAATAGAAATACTATTTCACAATTTTATCTATATTACTAAAACCAACAGAAATAAATACTCTTTCTCTTTTACCCAGCAAGTACACAACAGTAATTTTCTTTCCATTTATTTCTACATCCAAATAAGAGGAATAAAAGAGAATGGTTTCTCTTTATCTCTTACCACTTCAATTTTTTTTTTTTCTTTCTTTTTCTCCTTTCCCTCTATTTCCTAAACACACCCTTACAGCCACCCAACTTTTTTAGAATTAGGTTGAGTCACTTTTTATGGTGTCAAAGTCACCCAATTTGGGTCCAAGATATTAGTGATATAAACAAGCCAGTATATGCAGAACTGTATATATGCTTCAATCTGAAACTAAATTTCAACGTGGGTATCTACAGAAGCTAAACAGTTCATATCAAAGCAAATATCTTGACAAGCAAGTTTCCCTACCAACCATGTGGCATCGATACAACTGAAGACTAACTGAGGGAGATGCAACTTGACATCTAGATAGGTCTGACTCTCCAACCTCTCACTCTCATAAATGCAGACAACTAATTCTTTAGTCAGCTTTTGCAAGTGACTTCTATATGTCAAAACAGTTCTTGCAGGGTTGGCACCAAAAAACTGTACAGGTTGGACTCACCTCAAATTTAACTGAGCTTTGATCGGTACTGAGTTGAAGCTGTCCAATTCTATTTTTAAACTTGTTTTAGTTTAAACATTTTTGAAGTAGACAGTTTGATTTATCAAGCATGAAATGAACATACTACTATCATTCGAGCTGAATTTGAGTTCCTCAAATAATTGAATCAAATTTCAAACCAAATTCAAGGTTCATCAGCATTTGACTAAATTAAACTCAATTTCAGATATCGGATTTACATCTAAAAATCTATAACAAGAACGAACGTAAATATCAATTTACAACTTCTGAGCTCCTTTTTAGTATGGTTGTTGAACAGAGAGGCCTGCAGATTTGAGCAGAATAGAAAGTAAATGCTTGTAGTTGCTTGTCTCTACTGAAGGAAAAAAGGATCAGCCAGTTCATATATTACAGAAGATTGCATATGCTGGCAATTTTTTTCAGTAAAATCAGACCTTCATATATACAACTTTTGGAAAGTTCTTTCATGCAATTATATTATGTAGGTTCTGACCCTTTAGATAACCCCCAACATTCATCACCAATAATCCATGCATGAGCAGGAACCATTCTTGAAGTGATGGAACCTGGCACGATCCCTCACAATAATCTCAACATTGAAGATTCTAGATATCAATTTCGTCACCTGGTGACAGTCATTGCAAACTCGAAGATTCTTTAAAATACGGATAGGAACTCCTGGTTTCATGTTTAATAACCCCAAAGCAATAGCAAGTCTCTCACTGTGCAGCCTAAGGGACTGCTGTTTACCCTCGTGCAACTCATCAACCATTGGAGCTTGTGAGTAGTCTGGCAAATAGCCTACCAACAGGAGTCTTTCATCTATCACATTCAACATTCCATATATTTCCTTTGTTAGTGGATGAGACGTGTCTCCTGCAAAAAATTCATGTGCAACACCATCAATCTCAATTGAACTGCAGCCAGGCTCTTTAGCAATGCCTTTATCAGTCATCAATTTTCTAATCAACCCAACATCATTCCACCTGCTAGCTGATGCATAAACTCTTGACAAAAGCACATAGACACCACTACAGATGCCTTTCTCTGTTTCAAGAATCTGTCTGGCCATTTCTTCACTCAGCTCAATGCTTGCATTTTTCTTACTACATGCATCAAGAAGACTCCTCCAGATGACTGCATCAGGTCTCATTTCCATGCTTGATACAAGATCAAGAGCTTCATCAATGAAGCCTGCACGAGCAAGAAGATCAACAATGCAACCATAGTGCTCTACCACAGGCTTAACCTTGTATGCTTTGACCATCATGTCAAAATACTTGCGGCCCTCACTGACCAAACCTCTGTGATTACAAGCACTAAGAACACCAACAAATGTGATAGAGTTGGGCTCAAAACTCTCTGTGTTTATCATGCAGGAAAAATACTCTAAAGCCTCCTCTGCTCGCCCATGCATGGCAGAACCTAAGATCATTGAATTCCATGAGGTTACATCGCGGGTGTGCATATCATCAAACACCTGCTTAGCCATTTCCAATGACCCACATTTGCAGTACATATCCAGCAAGGAGTTCTTGATTAAAACATCCATGGCGACATCAATATCATTCTTTTTCAAAAGGTAAGCATGAGCCCACATTCCCAGGGACAAAGCACCCAGACCAGCACAAGCAGTTATGATGCTCTGCATGGTATACCCATCTGGTTCAAACGATTCCTGCATCTCCCTAATCAGTTTTAACGCCGAATCAAACTGACCAAACTGAACGTGGCCATCAATCATAACATTCCAAGATACCAGACTTCTCTCAGGCATATTAACAAACACCTTCTCCGCCGACTCCAAACATCCGCAAGAAGCATAGAAATGAATCAAACTATTATTTACATAAGCATCTAAATCAAACCCATGTTTAAAAATCTGACAATGTAGTTGTTTCCCTTCGAACAGAGCAAACAAGTAAGCACAGGCTTTTAGCACGAAGGGAAAAGTATGCTTATCGGGGAGAACACTTCCCAGCTCCAGCATTCTCTGATAAAGCGCAATGGCCTGTTCTTTTCTATTAACGCCACGGGCACAAGCTCTGATGAGAGTATTCCACATAAACGAATTCGGGTTCTCAATTTGATTGAAAACCCGATAGGAATAGTCAAGATCGGCGAAAGACGAGAAACGAAGTATTTTGCTATAAACAAATAAAGCGTCTGGGTCGTCAGGAAACGTGGTGCGGATAGTATGAGCATGAATCTTTTTGAGCTCAGACATGTCCGTACACTGGTTCGGGTAAAGAAGAATACGACCGTGGTTGTTAAAGTAATCGTCATTGTTGGAATCTTTGTTCTTCCTTGAGAGAATTTGAGGACGTGGGATATGGGTAGATGCGAGAACCATTTTCTGCAGCAACTTTAATCGGAACTTAACATAGATTATAGAGGTTTTCTATCAAGAATCAAGTTCATTACCCTGAAAATCACGCGACATGTTCTTGCTTGGTCGGGAAAAAAAAAAAAAAGAAATCATATACAATTAAGAAAGCAAAGAGACCCGCGTCACCATGACTGCTGGTAAACTTAAAAAGTTCAAACCCAGGAGTTGACGGAGAAGAGCTGAACCTGATTCGTTTTGTCCAGTATCCATGGCTGGATAGGAGGAAGCTGTTTTATTTCCTCGATTATCAGTCGGGAAGTAGAAACAAGAAGAGCCCAATATTGAACTGGGCCGGGCTCTAATATTGTCTTCGGCCCATAAGCAATGGCATGTTTCTTTTTGTTTTATTATTTTAGTTGTACGGTCAATTATAGTTTTGAGTTTGTTTTTGTGTACTGAAATTAATTTCTTATTATTAATTAAAAATAAAGTATTATTATTATTTTTTATATATTAAGAGATTCGTAAAATTTTTTTTGCCCAAAGTTAATAAAATCAAACATAGAAATAGACATTTATTACTGATAAAATAAATTAATTAGGGTTAAGTATGATTATGGAGTAGACCCTTTGGTGATGCCCATCTTGAATTTAAAGAGTAGAGTCCAAAGAATCTGACTTTATCATATAAAAAAAAAAAAAAATATCTCGGATGTGATGATGACAAATGATACTGAAGCCAAAAAAAATTTATTTCAGAGAGAAGAAATTTATCAGAAATTCATAATTATTGTGGCTGCAAAATTATAAAGAAATACCTAAAAAAAAAGCTTCAATTATTGAATTAAAATCCCCCCCCTCCCTCTATTATTGAATTGAATCAAACAGAGACCAAGGATTTTTATTGTGAGAAAAAAAATAGATATTATAAGTAATTGAATATTTATTTACCCCTTGATTGTTAATGTTTAAAAATTTGATTGTATACTTTCTTCACAATGCAATCTAAACCTCACTCGTATAGCATCTACTTGTAATCAATCACAAAGTTCCTAACTCATTTTCTTTAAAAATTTAGACCGTTTTTGGCATAAATTTAAAGAATTTTTGTAAAATTTATTTGTAAATTCGTTGTTTTTTTTTTTGAAAAAAGAAAAATTAGAGAATGATAGAATGTTATATTTAAAGTTATAAAAATTGATATTGTATAAAATTTTATGCAAAGTTACAAATGTATTCTATTATCACTTGATAAAATAATTACGGATCAAATATTAACTCTATTATCATTTGATAAAATAATTGTGGAGAAAATTTCTGCCGCACTGCTTGTGTGTAGACATAGTGTAAATATAATGTGATCTAAAATACCAGTGTTGATAATCCCGAGGACTATAATGTTTTCCCATTGTGTTGAATGAGCCGAGAGACAAAAATGCATACTAGAAAATTTAGATACATTAGTGTTTCTCCCAGGTAAGATATGATTGTACTAACTATGCTGAAGGCTACTTTTATTGTAATAACACCTCGAATTACACATACTGGCTTTTCTGTAATAACTACCCCTTCTTT